CCACCTGTCAGAGAGCTCACACCATGCACTTCGTAAACTAGCAACGAGATAATCAGTACAATGGGGTTTACAGTTAACTAACCGAGGACTCGATCCAAAACTGCCTGGGCTCTGAGGGGAGGAGCAGTGCTGGAGGAGAGGAGCCTCTGAGCTGGGTACTGCCCTGGGAGCCTGGATCCACCAGGATCTGTCCGTGGTGCTGGCTTTTGGCCCAGCGTGTCCTGCCTGAAACACCTTCTCCTGGGTCTCATGGTCCGAGTTTCTCTTGCTGCCCAACTTTAAAATATGCAGGAACAAGGAGGAAAGGGGCACTGCTGTGTGAGACCCCTCAAGGCTGCGTAACCCATAACCCATGGCCAGCAAGTGGGGAAGGGGGAGAATAAAGAAGTTGAAGGAACCTCCTATGTGGGTCCTTTGTCTTTTAATCTGATAGAAACCCTCCATGTTGCACTCATTGTGTCCTGAAGAACTGTCCCAGGGTCCACTTCCTCAGCTGCACGCGGCTCCTAGTGCGCCCCTCAGCGTGTACTTGTCTCACACACTGCATTTCTCTCTCTCTTTCTCTCCCTCTCACTCTCTCACTCTAAGTCAGGGGTGGGAACATCTGGCCCGAGGGCCATATAAGGCCTGAGAAATCACTTGGTCTGGCCCTGCCAAGGCATTAGGGGTGAGTTAATGTTTGACCAAATATAGCAGACTAATTTTTAAGTTGAACATTTTGTATGGCCCAAGAATGATGTCATAAGTATCCAGAAGGCCCTGGGCAGAAAAGAGGTTCCCACCCCTGCTGAGTGCCGGCCTGGCCACCACAGGGCAGCTTTGTGGAGCCTGAGGATGGCAGAGATCAAAATACATTGACTGTGCATTCTGTTGTGTTAACTGTACACGGGCCTTGGGTCACCTGCCGCATAATGGCTTAAAGAGAAGGAACAAGCACGTAGGTCTGTGTCCTGCACCCCCTCCTGCTCTGCCTTCCCTCTGTCCAGACAGGTCCACACGGACCAGCAGCTCCCTCAGGGGGAGCCTTCCAAAGGGCCTGCGTTCTGGTCAGCATCGCAAGGGCTGTCCTCTCCTCCTGAGAAAGCCTTTCCCGCCTCCCTCAGCCCCACGTACCTTATTCCTAAGCCTGCAAACTGGGTTATGACTTGACTCTGGGGAACCACATTCCCACGAGTTGATAATGTCCTGTGACCTTGCCTCCCTCAGCCCCACGTACCTTATTCCTAAGCCTGAAAAGCCTGCAAACTGGGTTATGACTTGACTCTTTGGAGAACCACATTCCCACGAGTTGATAATGTCCTGTGACCTGAGTCCTTTCAAGTGCGAGTGTCTGCAGCTTAAAAGCGGAGGCCAGACTGTGTAGATGGTGGGAAAGCCATCGACAGCGCAGTCAGCCTGTGCTGCTTGCTTCTCGTGGGCTGACAGCAGGCGAAGAGCAGACTTGTAGAGACGAGGTCCTGTAAGTGTTAGGAGGG